CTCGCAGCCGCTGGCACGTTCGCGGGATAAAGACTGACTTTAAACTCTCGCCGGGGTCCGTTTGAACGATCGCCAAGAATCCGGAGAATCTTCCACGGATCGTGTAAACGTCGCGGTCACGTTTCATACGTCACCGGCGAACTGTCGTTTTTCTACGTCACCGCGGGCTTACGAGATCGTTAGATCGGTTCCCGAGTCGCATAACGAATCCGATCGAAACCATTTCCTATTCCGATGTCGTAACAAACAACTTCGCAATTACGAGTTCCGGGCTCCTCGACAGCTTGCGCTCGACTCTTTCAGCGGTCTTATTTTTAAATTCTTGGTTCGTTCGCAAAACATCATTAGTGCCAAGAGAAAATTTTTCAAGTTCTTAAAAAATATATATTTTTTTTTTCTCATTATCATATACTCATTAATCACTTATAATTAACACTCTGACTAACTAATACATTTCTTAATCAATTACCGTTTGATTTATCGAATCTACAAAATTCTCGGCAGTGGAAAAATACCATTTCAAAACCGTAATCGTTATCGAGACAAGCGCGCGCGTTCTTCTCTAACTGATCGCTTCGTGTTTTTACGGTGCTTCCCGGTTTTGTAATTCGTATAAGCAGCACCTGAAAATTACAGGCCTTGCGCGCGTTTGGGCGGCCGTAATAAGATTGACCGAGAGAGGAGTATATTGCGACACACACGTGTTCGAGCGACGTTTTCCCGCACGAACGACGACCGGGCGCGTAGGTATCGCACCTTGCGACGCGCGCGCCCGTCGGAATCGAGCAAACCCGTGAGAAGCGCGCAGCCTCCCGCTCCGAAATTACGAAATTCGAGGCGTCGTACGTCGTCACTTCGGGCCGGTGTCGTCTTGTGGCGGTGTATTTCGCGCGCCCCTTTTACCCACGTACATTATTATCGAATTACCAGGTGTCTTGCAACGCGCCGATTTCGTAATACAGACCGCCGTTTCGCGTCGCGCTGAATATTAAAGCCGGCGTGTTACGCGAGACCGTTTTCGTGTCCTAGCTCGCGGGAGCGAGCGTGTCCTCCTACGTGCAAATGCACGCGGCCCGTTCGTGTGTAATTAATATGTGCACACACAGAGTGTACTAAGACTTAATGTTCTCGAATTATTAACGTTTTCGTCATCGTTGAAAGAGAGCCGCGACCGAAAATTTATCTGGGAAATAAAATAGAACAACTGCGCTATCACGCAAGTGTTAAACATTTTCTCGAGTTTTTTCCTCTTCTGTTACTTGTTTTGCTACCTGCTCTTGTTGTGTTTATTATTTAGATATCTGATAATTAATTCGTCAGATAAAAATGTCGGGTCTTGAAAAACAGTTGCTTTATACGCGGTACACGCAGTATCTCGTCGTCAAAACTTTCGGAGAATCGCGCGAATATATATTGCGAAAGTTCTTCAAATACGCGTACCGTATCAATTTATTATTATTTTTTCTCCAACGTTAAAAGTTCTCTAACGTTATTTATTTTCATTATACGCGAGAGTATTACCACAACGTCCACCTCGTATTTTCTTCCACAACACGGAGACTGTTGCTTGAGAAAATACAACGAACAACGTGGGTTTGCGCTTTCGGTGCAGCGCGCGCGCGCGCGCGTGTTTGCGCGCTCCCCGAAAGAAACGCGCGCAATGCGAAAACAAGAAATGTGGCGCAAACACGACGCGGCAAATATTCCGCAACTGTAGATATATACATTCGAAATATGTCCGTCCGGTTGACAATCGAATCGCAACACGCGCGTTATTCGATCGCACACGTGTGCACGTACGCGTGTGATTTCTAATCGCGAGGAGAATACACACGCCCGCGTGTGTGTATGTGTGTGTGTGTGTGTGTGTGTACGATGAATTATGAGGTTGCATTAAGCGCACGAACGCGAACGACCCACAAATCATACGCAACTCGTGTAAGTCACGTGGGTGTTTCCCGGCGGCCGGCCCCGCGATATATAAAAAGAAATAAAAAGACTTTCTACTCGCCGTCTAGAATAGGTGACGAACTTTCACGCGCGCCTCTCCTTACAGGATCATCCCGGAACAGAAATCTTCGTGCGCTCGAAATTTTTGTTTTGCGAGATACGACAATAACGTTTCGGCATTAAAAGGTCGAGATTAAGTTTTTCTAGCATTAATTTTTTGCAATTCTGAAGAGGGTCCAAAAGTTGCAAACTATGTATTTTTTTTTTTTAATATTTTACTTTTGTCGTCAGAAACAATTTTTTTTTCTAAAATATTCCTATAAAAACTAGAACTATTATTTTTTATTATTTTTTAACGCAGAAATAGTCTCGGTTTTCGGTATCTCTCGGCGTTCTTTTAATCTGCAAACTGAAGACATGCCCGTGATGACATTTCGAGAAGACCGTTTAATTTGCAAAGCAGACTCCGCGCTGTTACAGAGCCGGGCTTAATATTCAACGTGCCGAACAAGCGAGTTACAAAACACGTTACGATATCCTTGCCAGGCCGATAACATAATCTTTGCACAACGCCAAAAAACTCCGCGAGCGCGGACGAAGATCGACTGACAAATATCGTCGCGCACTTTTAAGTGCGAATACAAATGTTCGTTAAATTACCTTGTTTGTAATTAAAATATCATCTTGCGCAATGTTTTTAGCTATTTTATTTCTTTTTCGAGCGGCACGTGAAAATTTCGCAGAGAATAAACCCAAACTTGCTTTCCGTAACTTTTACAAATCCAATAATATCGTCGTAACAAGAAGGTCGAGACAATCCAGAGAAATAATTTATCGAATAAAAATATTCCAATTGTGTAGAAATAAATTTGTCACACGCATTACACGTCTGACATACGCATTGCTCGCAACGGAGCAAAATTATTAGGTCCGAGAACCGCTAAGGAGATTAATGACGATTCGCGGTTGGACAAATTGCTGCGCCACGACGATTTCCAATTTGTTGAAGTGACTTGATCGGAGAACTCGGATTCGATCTATTCGTCGTTGTCTGCAGTGAAACGCAGTAATGACGCGCGGAAAACTCTCGAGAGTTGCGCTCGCGGCGGTTAACGCAGAAGAGAGATTATATTGTCGCCGTTATGTCACACACGCAGTTTGACGAGGATCGAACTCTTCCATTTATTCGGAGAAACACGTATTTTGCGCGGCACTTTTCACTTTTTATCATTCCACCGGCAACGCGAAGGACACAGTACGCTGCGTTGCGAGCGCAGCGCAGTTTGAACGATCGCCACGGGGGAGGGAAGCACACGGTGCTTTTAACTTTGTGCTCGATTATCTCGTGCTCGCGATCTGCGAGTTGCGGTAATCAGACATTTATCGGCGTGTAACCATCGATTTGTGCGCGTACGCGGTCATTCGTGCATAAAACGAGGCGCTCACGGTTTGCGCCGAGAGAAAAACCTGGAGATTTCAATAAAGATATAATTAGTTTTCTGTTTGTGAAAACGGAAATTAATGAATACGCTCCGCGCAATTAACGTTTCACGTTTTCCAATTATTATTATTTCTCGAGCGCGTAGTTTTGAAGCGGCGCCGAGTTTTTTTTTCGAACAGCGCGATTTTTGAGAAATCGCGTTACGATTTTCGAACATTCGTGCGAATACGATCGATGATTTCAGCAAACAAGAGAGAGAGAGAGAGAGAGAGGCAATCTAGAAATCTAAAAAGGAAATCTAGAAAGTCACAACGTCGCTGAATTCAATGCACATTTATTGTTGCAATCCAATTCACGATTTCTAATGACGTTTCCCTCCGTTCCGAGTTGGTAATTATTGCTAATAAATGATAGGAAGCGTTTGTTTGCGCTTTGATTCGCGAGACGGGAAAATTTTCAGCGCTTTTCTCGTCTTGCGCATATTGTTGCGCGCGCGAACAGAACGCGCGGTCGAGCGTATTCAGATTTCCTTGAGTGATACTTCATTGAGCTCGATGATTGTCCGCCAATCGAGTCTCATATAATCACGTGACGTGCACGATCGGCCGATCATTAGCTCAGCGCTTTTGCCTCTTGTTATTTCTTTCGTCTTCGGATCACGGAATCGGAACACAGCGTCGAGAACAAAGAAAGCGATTCGTGTGCGAGTTTTTTTTTTTTTTTTTTTTGGTTTTAATCACACTCTGAGACACGCAAACGTCAATAAGATTTATTAAAAAAAACATTTATCTTCTCGTGATTTAAATCTCGACCAGTTTTTAAGTTACATCATCCTCTTCTTATCTTTGAATTAACTCTTCAGTGCCAGATATGGGTCTCCGAGATCCATCCAAAATTGCTTTTTGCGGAGATATTAAAACTTAAAGTCGCGTAGACCTCACAGACCCAGCCTGGACAACTAGTAGGTCATTTTTTATGTCTGGCACTGAAGGGTTAAACCTGGTGCATGTCTGCACATTGCAAATAAGTCAAAATATTGCGAAACGTAAATAAATCGTAATGTTTATCTTATCGTAAGTTGATATGTTCAATTTTTTTTAACGATCCGGTAATGCAACATTCTAGCGACATCTGAGGCATCTCGAGAGCGAGCGTCCAGACCTACTTTGTTATCAGCAGCTGGTCTTCTTGATGAAAAAGATCGTGTTAAATATAAATATTTGAAAATATTTGATAATTATTATCGCAAATAAAAATAACGTAGAAAAATTCACTTGAGTTAGTTGTGATATTCGATAAAAATATTTTTCTATTTACGCATTTTTAATTAAAATACTTTTACCATGTCAAATTTTTGTAAAACTTTCTCGAAGAGTATTACTGACAATTGAAACTTGTTTTTCTCTCAATAATTGTTTCTCTATTTTTTTAAATGACGAAAGTGTTCGACTATGAAAAATGTTTAGCGCATCGATAGTTCTCGATCGTTTTCTCGTGCGATTCGAGTTATCGTTAGACGTCGAGACATCGATAACTCGCCGCGTTCTGATAGTACGCGTACTATCCTGACGAAAAACATTGCACGCTGATTAAATACCATATTATTTATTTGACCTACGTGAATCAACTCAGTTTCGTGCAGACAGCTCCGAAGAACGTATTGATCGGAAGCATGGCGCTTCTCGTAAGAATCGCAAAGTGTGAGGTACGGAAAATGCACGTAATCGTCGCGCTCGGTGTGCCGACTGTCATTTCGCGCGTTCGTCCGAAATTTATTTGCTCCGACTTTCGACTGCGAACCGCGAACATCGGACGTGTGTAACGCAATGCAAATCGAACCATCTAGCGAGCATTCCACGAACTTCAAAAATACGTCCGTATGTTCAGCGCGACGAACAAATAATTCGCACGTGTCAATGTTTTTTTTCAATGTGATAAATTTCACAAAACACAACTCGCAGAATTAAAAGTTGAAAGAAAAATTGACTCTTTGTCTTTATTGTGTTTTGTATTCTCTTCGATTATTTTAACACAGTCACGTTCACTTTCTTTGTAAAATTTCACACAAAATATTAATATTTAATAAAAAGTTATGAGAAACATTGCAAACAGACTCGGAGTAGTTGTTTTGATAGTTATCTTACTTTTACATCTAGTATATTCTTTGGTATAAAAAAATCTTCGTGAGTGGTGAACGCAGTTAAATTTAGTGTTTTCACAGATGTTCTCTAAACAAGTTAGCGCGCTTATCAAAACCTGGCGATTACACGTGACAACCGATATACATACGTGCCGATAATATTCCAGTAAAACTGATAACCCAGAAAAACATATTTTCCGCACGTCATTGACATAGTTTTGCTTTGCAATTGTGTATTGCACAAATTAACAAACTCTCTCGTCGCATCGTCATTTTTCTTATCTTCGAAAGAACGTCGCATTTTCTACTTTTTGCATTTTGAGAACGCGTGTATAAATACAAAAACTCTATCCTCTTGCAACACAGTTGCCTTATCGGTCCAATCAAAATTACAATAAATTTTTCGAGACAATTTAAACGCGCGAAATGCCTCAACGCTCCTAAATGTCATGCAGAATGCGTTGATGATTTATAGAGTGACAATTGTTCGAGCAATTGACCTTCAAACGCGACAATGACGCTCGCAAGAGCCGAATAACATTTACCAATTGTGGTTGGCGAAACTTTTGTAATGCGAGACAAACGGCAGTAAACACTCGACAACAATGTCATTTATGTTATTTATTGAACAAAGCGATATCGTTAGATAATTTTGGTTTGCTAATTAAAGATGAATATTTTGAACCTTTGACAATGTATATCCGGAAATCACTGATAATGTGTTTTGCGGATTTACGTCAGAAATAAAATTTTAATTAAAATCCTGCATTGTTCGCCACGTTTCAAAAAATTTCGTCGTTAAATATTAATTTTGCGAATCACTTGTGTTCGCTAACTTTTTCTTTCGTGTCGTATTAATGTTATTGTTAACGTGGGAAAATTATTTAAATTCAAAACACACAAAGTTACTGTCACGATTTTTCAGACCCGATTCATCACGAGATCCTACAGCAATGCCGCCCCGACGGTAAAAATGTACATCGACGGACAATTCGTAGGTAATTGTGCATGCGCGATCGCAACAAGCTCCGTTCGTTCGCACTCTGTTGTTCAATTTTGCAAATAACAAATTTGTCCGACAGAATCGAGAGCCACGGAGTTCACGGATGTACACGATCCAGCGACGAATCAGTTGTTGTGTCGCACTCCGAAATGTACGAGAGACGAGATGGAAAACGCGGTGCAAAGCGCGCGAAAGGCCTACGACAAGTGGCGACACACAAGCGTGCTCACGAGACAGAACTTGATGCTAAAATATCAGGCTCTCATCCGCGAACACTCGGTCAGTTTTGTTTTTTATTACAAATTTACGTTCGCGTATAAAAAAAAATTAAAACATTGGAGAAAATATTTTACAATATGATTTACATATTATTTTGCAAAATATATTTATTTCCTTACAGAAAGAAATAGCGGAAAATCTCGTAAAAGAAAATGGAAAAACTATGGCCGACGCTGAGGGGGACGTGCTTCGAGGTCTTCGTAAGTAAATCGTGTCAAATTATCGTTAAACATTGTTACACATAGTTTATATTCCAAACTGTATATAACTGTAATATACTCTGAATTTTATTTAAGTTATTAAATATATAAATTTTTATAAAAAACAATGTGTTGCAAATTTTATAAAATAATAATTTATCGCGTGTTGCAAGAATTATGATTGTGTTCTCATGTCATTTGTTTAATATATCGCACGATCGATATTTAATTAAAAAAATATATTTATCGATCGGTGCTTCAAATGTGCAGAGGTCGTCGATGCTTGCACGGCGATTCCGACGCTCCAGATGGGCGAGTCCTCGGCCAACATTGCTACGGATATGGACATCGTGTCGTACAAAGTCCCTCTCGGTGTTACCGCGTCCATTTGTCCTTTCAACTTTCCCGCTATGATACCACTTTGGTCGTTTCCGATAACGGTCGCGTGCGGTAACGCCGCAATCCTGAAACCCTCGGAACGGGTCCCAGGTGCGTCTATGATCCTCGCTGATCTCTTCACGAAAGCCGGCGCGCCACCCGGACTCTTAAACGTTATACACGGCCAACACGCGACCGTGGATTTCATTTGCGAGCATCCCGATATCAAGGCAGTTTCCTTCGTTGGTTCCGATCAAGCGGTAAGCGAAAAATAGAAAAAAAAAAAACGATCGGAGAGAATATCGAAATGTGTCTCGCGCTTTATCCGCAGTTCTTTTATCTCTCCGATACACAGACGTGCCGCGCGGTTTTTTCTTAAAATCACAATTAAATAGATTTTCCGGTCTCGCAAAAAATTTACAAATTTCTCAAATTCGCGATCTTAATTTTCTAAATCAATAATTAAATAATGTTTTGTTGTCCGGAAAAAAACTATTTTTTAAAATTTCTCAAATTCGCAGGGCAAGTATATCTACAAGCAGAGCAGCGCCCACGGCAAGAGGGTGCAGTGCAACATGGGCGCTAAGAATCACTGCATCGTTTTACCGGACGCGAACAAGAACAAAACGCTGTCGCAAATCGTCGGTGCGGCGTTCGGCGCCGCCGGCCAGCGATGCATGGCACTCTCGGTTGCCATCTTCGTGGGCAAATCCAAGGAATGGATCCCCGATCTGGCGGAGGCGGCGAAGAGACTGAAGGTGAACGCCGGACACGTACCCGATACCGATCTCGGACCCGTTATATCGCCGCAAGCGAAGCGGCGGATCTGCGAGTTGATCGAATCCGGTGTTAAGGACGGCGCGAAACTGGCTCTCGATGGAAGAGGCATCGTCGTGTCCGGCTATGAGAACGGAAACTTCGTTGGACCTACAGTGCTGACCGATGTTAAGGTGTGAAATTAATATTTTTGTTGACTTCAGTTTTAATTAGAAAACAATAACAAAGTGAAAATAATTTACTAAATTACAAATAAATATTTTCACATTGCATTGCAATTTTTATATACTTTTTATATATAGCCCACAATGAAGTGCTACACGGAAGAAATATTCGGTCCAGTTTTGTCGTGCATGTTCGCCGACAGCACCGACGAGGCAATCGACATCATCAATAAAAACTCTTACGGCAACGGCACGGCAGTTTTCACGACAAATGGCGCGACGGCCAGAGCATTCGTGAACAGAATCGAAGCCGGCCAAGTCGGTGTTAACGTCCCCATTCCCGTCCCCCTGCCGATGTTCAGCTTCACCGGCAACAAGGGTTCCTTCCTCGGCGATAACCACTTTTATGGGAAATACGTGAGTGCATAACATCTTCACGTGACTTCGACTTGAATAAGAGCCAAGCGTTGTGTGTAAATCTTTGCGAGAGTTATCAACTTACATGTTTGCGTTTTTTTGTTTTAACAGACTAAGTCAGCTACAAAATATTATATTTCTTATTAGTTTTGAAATGAACTAATTAACATGTTTATACGAAATTGTGTGTCTTGTAATAATGTTAGCTTTATGTTTTTGTTTTTTTTTTTTTTTATTTTCAGGGGATAAATTTCCACACGCAAACAAAGACTGTGACTCAGCTATGGAGGTCCGGTGATGCTAGCGACATATTGTCGTCAACAGCAATGCCTACCATGCAATAAGATTTGAAATGCGTTAGGTGTTTAATTTTATAGCGTATCATATTATCTCTCGAGGACTTTCAAATTTATGCGCAGGATTACGCGAGATTCATTCCAGTAACAATGTCTTCCACTGTTACGTACAAATTTGTTCCTAATGTTACTGAAGATATTATTTAAGCTAGATACACGGTATATATTTTTTATAGCGCAATAAAATGCTGTTTCTCGAAAGCAAAAAGATGATCTTCCTTTTTCTCTCCTTCCCGTCTTTTCTCGCGCGAATTAAACTTCATTTTTATGATTTTTTTTTTTTTTTTTTTTTTATATTACGCAACTTTAGAAACGGTAATTATCTAATCGAATTCACTTGCGCGTCAACATTATCACAGTAAACTTTTTTAGAAAAATATAATCAGCTTCACATTTTGATCGTTTTTTTTGGATTAAAGATCCTTTTTTTCCTAAATTTCGAAATAATCAAATTCAACTCCGCCAGCGCGATTCGTGCGACGATAAACCCGTCGACCGCGACTTTTTTCCCTATATCGATCAGCCCTCCGCTCGATAAGCCACCGCGATCGGAATTTGGCGCGCGGGCGGTGCCAGGCGAAAATATGCCTAAAACTCGACGGCATAAGTTCACGGTCGGCACCTTCCGGGATCCGTCCTTGAACCTTTGGCCCGTCGAACCCGCGCGCGGACGTCCCGTCACTCGGGGCGATATTCGAACCAACTTCCGGCAGTCCGGGAGAGGAGCGATGTACGCGCCGACGCGCGCACCTCGTCGCCGCCGCCGCTGCCGCCGTTCGTCGTCGTCGGGGTCGCATCTGCGCATTTTCCAACTGTGTGTGAGTTTCCCTCACAGGCGAGGTTCTCTGCCTGTCCCGGATCGCCGTGTACCGCGCCGTCACACACCGGGGAGACCGGCAGGGCTAGCCAAAGGGAGTATCGTCCGCCATTCACATATCGTGAGTACGTTTTTTCGATCGCGAACTCGCGCGATGCGATTCGCTCCCACCCGGTTTTTCCATTTCCTCGCTCGAAAGTCCGCGCAATTCCGTACGTGTAGAGAGACGCGACGAGAATAATTTATCTGTTTTTTCCTACGGGGGTTATTGACGTGTTCCACCGAATTGTTCGCGAGTAAATTTCGACGTGCATTGATTCCGCGATCGGTTGGTAACGCGAAAATGTCGAGCATCGACCGCGCGACGGTCTCTTTCGTTCGTCGAGCGGGGGCTCGATAACGTCCCGGATAATTTTTTTTTTTTTTTCTTTTTTTAAAGCAAGCCGTCGACACCGGTTCAAACGGGGTGTAATTGACCGTCTTGGCTCCAATTTCCGGCGTGTCCTGCTCGTCTGCCAGACGGTATATTTCATCGTAAAAGTCGATAGCGTCAATACCCCCGATAAGTACGTTTGTTTGCATCAGCGTGGTTTTAAAAAAAATAATTTTATATTCGTGTGTCTTAAGAGATGTTCAAATTACTGGCCTTATTTTTTTTTTTTTTTTTTTGTTCAAATATATTTCTTTTATTGGTTGATTTTAAATCGACTTAAACATTTACCAAGAAAACGGCAGAAAATTGATTTCGTTTTCAAATAAGTTCAATTGAAGATAAAGTCGTGTTCAAATTTAATTGCTAAAATTATATTCCCAAACACACACGCACACGTATGTGCAGCGATTGTTAGCTCTATCTCCGTTTATATTAATAATAGATATTTTAAGTTCGCGACCCACGTTCTACGAACTCGTTGACATGCTTTCAAACAATGTGCGGTTTTTAAATGTCAAGCGCTTTCTGCGCGAGCCGATTCAAACGCCTTTCTATTTCCGCCATGGTAGACGATTTAATTAAACATTATTTCACGATCGAAGTTCGAAAGAGGACTTGCCTCGAGTTTATTGCCTGAGTATCCCGCGAGCTTTCAATAACAAGCTTCTAATAACGAAACAAAAAAAAAAAACACAACACAAACTGTCCTCCTTTGCGATCGTTAAATTAATGCAAAATTAATTCCACGCGCGAGTGACGATTTTCACTTTGACATCGTGTGCAAATTTTCAATTTGGACCTTCGGTTTGTAATTTCGGCTGTGCGCATTATTATGTGATCTCGGAAGATATTTATAATAATTTCGACCAAAAAACTCCGCTACAAGTCTGTCCAGAGAAAAACATTGCGCCGGAACATTCTCTGCGAATGTCACGTTTAATGCGCGTTTCTGTAATTTTCTCTCTTCCTTCTGAAATGCATATTTAATATTCCTTTCCAAGCGGAAGCAATGTTTACGCGAAAAAAAAACTGTCGCCTACGATGTAATCTTAATTAAAGTTTTTAACATATTCATTAATTTTCTTTAAAGTTTTGCGAAACTTTTTCAGAAGATTTGATCTCTCGATGAAAGAGAGAGATTTTTCTCGCACATTTATCCTCTCAAAACAATTTCTTAAAACAAAAAAAAACAAAAAAAAAATAAAAAGATAAAAACAATTTGAGCAACGAATTTTTTCGGAGTGACTACTCACGCGAACCTGTCAAGCGCCGTCGTCGGCCTCGTCGTCTTTTCTTCGCTTCGATGCGACGACGGGATTCTTCACGTCAGTTTGAATAATTACGTACGAATGAAATGAAAACGCGAAACTGCATCGCGGCGCGATTTCACGTCAACCGGATCACCTTCGTGCCTCACGTACATGTATACATATATATATATATATATATTTCTGTATATATTTTCGTATCTTTCGAATATTTCATCCGCGGTCGCGAATCCCGGATATCTATCTCATGGTCGATTCTTTACGAGGTAATAAATGCCAGAAATATCGCTCTCCACGAAATACATTCTCGAGTCCGAATAAAAGTTCGAAGACGACCGGGATAATATTGTCACATAAAAGCGCGTGCCGTGTATAGATTTTTCATAGTGTTAAATGCCAATGAAAATAGATCTGGAAATAATAAATTCATAGAACGCGCTATTTATACATAAAAACTTAGTTATATACATATGTATGTATTATATATCGATATATATATATATATATATATATATACATATCGATGAATATTACATTAGGCGAAAACAACTCAATAAATCGTAAATTCATAAAGTGAAGCGAAAACGCCGCTTGTTATTTATCGAGTATAAACACGCAGCTGATACACAGCGTGTAATTTAATTTTCGAACCGAGTGTGTTAACCCCGCGAATTTAGAATTCACGCTTGATTTTAATTTCCCACTCGATGTGGGGACCGGACTACAAATTCAATTTAAACGCTATAAATCCGTCGACTTCTCGCTCTTTCGCTATTGTTCTTCATTTACGGTAAAATCGAAGCATTTAGATCGGCGTAAAGCCGCGATCGCAAAAATAAACACGCGAGAGATAAACGCACAATATCCGGAGCAGGATCATACATATTCCCGGCACGATTCCCGGGTAGGATCGCGGTATTCGTATTCTGTATTTCTAACGGAATGAATCCCCGTCCCGACAGGTTGAATAATTATGTACAAAACGGTGCGGAAAGGCGACACCAGTCTGCAGTATACGATACTGCCGCAGACGGATCAGCTCGCGTCCGGCGGATGTCCGCAGAATTCCGGCAAGACCCGGCCGAGGAATATCAAGTACACGATGGGCACGATCATGATACTGATCGTCGTGTCCATTCTGGGCGCGCCGGTGATGGTGAATCAGGTCAAGTACGATCACATGGTCCACAAGATGATGACGATGAGGCAGGTCGAGCTGATCGTCAACGACACGTACGCGAGGAGCCAGACGAAGGACGCCGCTGTAGGGAGCAAGAACAGAAGTAGAATCGCCACCACGACCACAATGTCGACGGCCGAGGTCACCAGAACGAAGGACCTCGAGGACGGCACCATCTCAACCCTCAGCGGTATCCTTCGGGAAGAGGAGGAGGAGGACGAGGCGGTGGTGGTTGACGACGCCACGTTAACAGGTATTTTATCCGATATTTGAAATATATTTGTTTCGCAATTATATTTTTCCTCAATTGTTTTTATCAACAGCTGTATCCGATATCTTAGTATGCACATTTTGTTTCATTCGCTTCTCGCAAAATAACATTCGTAAATATACTGCGGTACATATTGCGAAACGTTATTCCTCTCTTCTATTTTCGTCGCATATTTTTCTGCTTTTTGCTGACTAAATTAAGAAGCGTGTCGTGAAAATATCGAGGACGAGATGCAATGTTTTCTCGTTTACTTGCAGAATGTTACGGGAAAATAGCGTGTAAAAATGCAACGTAAATGTACGTAAGAACAGATTTTCCGCAAACATAAATTGACGTCGAAATGCGATTCCTCTTCGAGACGCGCGACGGTATCAATTTTCTAAACTAATGACAACGCGCGCAACTATGCCAATAACGGAAGTGTATAAGACATCGAATTACCGTCGACTTGCATTATTTGAGAAGAACGTTTAAAAATTCACCGGCGCGACATTTTCTTTTTGTAGCTTCAATTTTCTCTAACCGAGAAAATTCAAGTAAAATTTTCAAGACGACAAATGTCGATAGGGAACAACGTATTTAAGTTTTGCTACAGAAATTTATTGACATATGACCAAGTTTTTTCGGATTTAAATAATTTTACTGACATCTCTCGGATTTTTTTGTTTTTTTTTTTTTTGTTTTCTTACAGACACAACGGAAATTACTACGCCACAAACAACCGCGAACATGGAAACGTCGACGAGCGCGCGTCAAACATCAACTTCACCCTCCGCAATTCTACCGACCATCCTTACGGCGTCCTCGACCACGTCGAGGGTGTCGACGAGCGGCACGACGGAGGACACGTCCACGTTTTTGTCGAAGGTGACAAAAACACCGCGAAAGAAACCGAAAATGCCGAGGGTTACACTGAAATTGCGGGAGAACGAGACCATACCGCACATGTACATGAAGGCGGGCATCGCGTCCTACAAAAAGGGCAATATCACCACCAGCGTGCTCGCGTCAGATCTCAGCCTCGAGGGCCTGATATTCAAAACGCCCGAGGGCACGATAAGGCCCTGGTCTCAGAAGTGGTTCTTCACCGATCCCGCGGCCAACTTCCAGTGGAAGGTAAGTGCTTCCGCTATTTTTCGATCAAACCGCCCGCCTCCCGACGCACGACGTCCCCAGGCAAGATGCATTCCAAAGGGGATTTCGAGTGCTCTGCATTTTGATAAAGCGATCATCTATCACGCGAATCACTTCCACGTTAAAACTGCTGACTCGTATTTTATTCCCCGTGCCTTGATTTTTCTTCGAGAATTTTCCTCGGAAAACGCTTCCTCGAACAAGTTTCTCGCACCGATTCCGCTACTTTTCCGATGGTCTGTTGATTACTCTTCGTCTTGTTACTTTACGACGAGATCCCTTGAATAATGTCTCAATTCGAAGTGGGGAGAAAAAAAGAAGAATTACACGAGTAAAATCTCTTTTTTTTTTTCCGCGTACGCATCAATGTCCGCGGCAAGTGTTGGTGATTCATTTTTTAAAACCGGTCCTAGATTTATGTCGGTGCTCGAAGAACTCATTTCGTTGCCGTTGCCGTTATTACATTTTATAGAGCAATTTTATCTCCCCGGACGCGCGCGCGCGCGCACGCGATCTGCGTGATATATTGCGTCACTTCCGCGTGCATTCTTCTCATATCTTCGAGTCTGGCGATCGTCTGCCGACTCCCGAAGCGGCACGAAAATTTTGCATCCCGCATATAAATATTGATCGCGTTGCACCAAAGACACCTAAACTGGTGAAGCACACCGTGTCCGATCGATAGGCAGAACCATGTCCCGTGAATCTAAAAGCGGACGAAGGAATCGCCCGGAGCCTTTATTTTTCTCGCACGTTTCCCATCGGGACATATGTACACTTTTTATTTCCTTCCTTCGAGAAAAGGGGTAAGCAGCGCGCGCAGAACGTGAGATACCGTCCTCCTCTCCTTCCCCTCCCCCCCTCCCGTTACGTATCGCAATTTCCGCGAAAAATGTCTTGCGAGATATCGCGTCACATATTTTTTTAAATACTACGTATGTATAAAAAAGAAGATGTGTCGTATGTACATTACACTATACACGTGTGTACGTAATATGTACATTAAAATCACACACGTATCGTATATGTGGTGTGAAAAAAAGAAGATACATCTAAAAGATATATATTTTGCGCATCTTCTTCTCGGTTATATGTTTCTTCCTGTGATTTCACAAGAAAATTCTTACGCCCACGGTCAGATTTTTACGCCCGCGAGGAAGCGGCGTATTTGCAACCGGGGGAAAAGCTGCTTTCTTAAAACGTCGACCTCGCGTAGGCCAATCAATATAAAAGCCGCGTGTTCTCTCTTGAGCCGATAATGCTTACTCGTTGCCACGGAAATGCTTGCGCTGCATCTAAAGATCTTTAAGAACACTGCACGTACTTGCGCGCGAAACAGAAAAAAAAAAAAAAAAAAATACCTCTCCGTAAATCGCGCGAATTGCGTTTCAGAATATCCCGCGGGTGCACGCGCGCGAGAAAAGACAAATAAATAAATAAAAAAACGTGTTTTGTATCGCGGCATCGAAATTCGATCAAAAATTTAATCGGAACAACTTTCTCGTCGACGAAACACAAACTGCGAGTTTCAAATTTTAGCTAAAAAGCTGAAAGCGCGTGTATAATTAATAAAACTTATCGGGACGGAAAACAGCTGTCTCGCTGCGCACATCGTGCGCGCGCGTAACACGGTTCGCCGACATTTTAGCCGAAAAATATTTTTGCCAAACATTTCCACCGTCGCGTTGCGTTGCGTCGCGTCGCAGGAGCTTTTACCGCGCTCGGAAGCTTTTTAGCGGGCGCTGTGTGCTGTTCGAGCTGACTTATCGAGCTAACAGCTGCTCGCCCGAACAAATTTCGCTTTATCCAATTTTCATAAATTGCGCTTGACGCGGCAACGCGCGTTTTGTATTTTACACGCGCTCCCCGTCTTTTACGGGAACACGGGAGCTTAATTTAGCGTGGAATTAAAAATTGCTTAATTCACACACACACCGTAGAATGTAATACCGCAATACGCGCGCGGCGACGGTGGCGGTGGTCGGTGACGGCGGCGCCGGCAACGCGATGCACAGGGAATTAACAGGATCTTGAGTGCCTGCTAATTCATATATTTACCGGTATTATGACGCCGCGGTAGTTACATGTGAATACATCGGAGATACACCGTGTGGCGTCTGCCCGGCCTGTATTTTGCATATTAAGCGGTAACTGGGGTAACAGAGAGTAGCAACAACATTTTCCGATGAATATTCATATCTCGCAGGATAAGGAACAGTGGATTATATCACACGGGGGAGAGGATATGACACGGGGAGGAGGGTGATACGTTCGCGAATATCGCGGAGAGCGAATCTCTTTGATCAAGCTTGATATCGCGCGATATAATAAATATTTATAAAGTTATTATCTCTGCGAGATAAGAGTTTTTCTGAAGATAAACACAAATACATTTCTTTCTTCTCGCGCTCTCTCTCTTTCTCGAAAGGATTATTCACATTCGCGTAAATTTGTGATCAAGATAATAAAAAACAATTCATTATCTTTCTCTCAGTCGCAATAGCAAATTATTTGCTCGGTACTCAATTGCGAGAATTGTTCGTAATTTTGTGGAGCGATGCGGTTATAGATACGCAAATGTCGTCCAGTCACTCAAGACTCGGACAATAATAATAATAATGGATTCCGTCCACACGTCTCGTGCCGAGAGATCAAAATATATATTATGTCAAATTCCACACGGACGAGACGCGAATAGCTTTCGAGAGCGGAAGGTTCGGACGGTATTAAACGGGACACCATCGTGAATTCCGTGCATTGCAAGATGGACAAATCAGAATTTCAAGCAGGTTATTGCGCCGATGGCCAACGAGCGTCGCGACGCAACGGTATCATCTAGCACGCAAAGCTTGATGTATGTACAGAGAGACCGCGACCTAATGGCAAATTAAAGCAGTCGTCGCAATCGATCTCGAAAAGGTTGCTTATTTATTTAATATTTGCGAACTTTGTGGACCAAAGGAAAACTACGGTCTCTGAAATCATGAGAGAAAAATAAAAACTAATTTTCGCGAACGTGTCTTGAAATCGAACTGAAAAGAAAAAATTAATTTTTTGGTATGCAATCGACCGACAAATAAGAGAATAGTGAAAAAATTGTACCAACTGAGAAGATGATTCGAAATACAGTTGAGAAACGTATTGGAATCGTATCGAGTGTTCGGCGCATTGTTGCAGAAATTAGTTCGCGTTGTCTTTGAGTATCGAAAACAAATTGTTAGAAAAAAAAAGTATAGCCGTATTATATATAACCGTGTGTCACATTATTCAATAATTTCGTAACAGACACGCTTGTTGTACAATGATAATGTTAATTGCGTCATATTTATTGCATTTTGCCAGAATCAGACCCAGACTCCGCTCCTAATCCTCTACATCTTCGTCGCGGGGATGTCGGTGCTGCTGATCGTCAGCTTCCTCCTGACGTTCTACGTGCAGCGGAAACTGTCGAGACGTCAGAGGTCGAACATCGAGGAGCCGGAAGTTGAGGAGCACGAGGATGACAAATCCACCCTGTCGACCCTGCTGGGCTCGGAGAATCAAGAGACCGAGCTGAAGGAGTAATTACCTCTTCTCGCGCTCTCTCGCCGACGCACCCGTATTAACAATAGCGTAAGACTCGCCTATTTTTACAACACACACGTCAAGTTAGGTTTAGGGTCTTCCACGTCGAAAAGGAAAACACGAGGTGCGGAAAGAGGTTTATGTCTTTTTTTTTTTGGTTCGCGACGCGAAGAGGACAAAGGAGAGTTGCACGAGATTTATTTTCCTCGCGCAGTTGCAAGCCGTTTTGTCTTCGCGAGTTTCCGACGGGGCGGGGACTTTTTTTTTTCCCGCGCGAGAAACGAAGACGATCGTACAATCATTCCTATATTTAAACCGTTGCGTTTTCATTCACGGACACGTACACGTTTTTTACACGTTTGTTAACGAATTAGCGGACGGACCAGTTAAGTTCGCTGCAACTGCGATTGACATTTACATACACACGCAGAGCTCGATTACGAGACGATGATTATAAAGCGTCTCCGCGACGGTCGAGCCAACGACGGCAAGCGAAAGAAAGCGCAAAAAAGTTCTGTTGTTTATTGTATAAGTTTATATACGAAACCGAGACACGGCGGGAACAACCGCCACGACTAACTATAACGTATGTCCATCCAGTGGAAAAATACGTACCTCGGTGACAAGTTAAGGAGACCGGAACGAGATTTGTGGAAATTCTTACGGGATATAAACACGCGGGAAAACAACGGGAGAATAACAACATATATCTCGCGCCCTCCTCGGACGCGTTTCGCGACATTTCTTTTTTTTTTTTTCTTTTCGAACAGATTTCCGCGCGAAAGTCGATCCCGACCTAGAGAGAGAGAGAGAAGCGAGTCTCCTTAATTTGGTCATCTTTGTATTTACTAAACTTTCTATTAATAATAACGCGATATACGTACGTATATGATTGTAAGGTATTATGTATACGTGTGTTATCGATTTTTCTAGCAAATTTGTCGAACGAAAAAAAAACCAAAAAACGAGCGAAAAAACGTGCTTTCTGACTCTTTGAAAAAAAAAAAAAAAAAATCTATTTGCCGGTCCAAACTCTATCTGCGTACAAAAGTAGCCAAGCGTATCTGCGTACTGCCACGCTACAATGAGAGGGCCAGCTTTTTCAACCCTCCATCTCCTCCTGTTTAATTAAAAGTGATGTTTGACGAACGCGCCGCGCTATCAGATATCTAATTCAATCGATATTTCGCGCGCCATTCACTTCTCTCGGCGCGATATTTTATATTTCATATTCCGCGCGCGCGCGCGCGGAAAACGATGGCTCGGTGCCGTTTCATATTTCGCAAAATATATCTACCCTCAACAGATTGACGATATCGCATCAGAAAATGCGTGTATGACTCATATTCAATTAATCTCCAAACTCCATTCGCGCGCGAAGTTTAATTACATACGTAGCTTCCATTCGAGGGCGCGCGCTATTTCTCTGCAGGTGCGCGCATAACGCGCGATATTACACTACCTACTGTGAAATCGCATGCAGAATCACAACACTGGAATTGTTTTATTTAACCGACATCCGAGCGAGTCTGAGAGCTTCTAGTTTGCCAAAACTAGAATTGACTGTTGAAATTGTTGTTGCACGATGTATTTATTAACGTATTGTATTGCGGGGAAACCGTGCGTATCGACACAATCCTCGCGAAATAATCGGTTTGTTTTTTTTTTTTTTTGATTTATTTGCAAATTTATCGAGTTGCTGTGTCGAGCGATCTGTGTGCAAAAAGCAGATGCTCGATTATACGAGTTTTTTTTACAGGTCGGGGTTATGTTTACGTTGAAATAACGGGCGTTTTTAAAACAATTGTTTTTTAATTGCCACCAACGTGATGATAAAACGTTGCGATCGGTCGTATTTGCTTCGATATCTTGCAACAACAGATACGTAAAAAAAACGTCTGTTATTATTTTAACATGACTCCCCGGTCTTAATCGAGGAGACGCGAGATCGACTCCAAAGGTCGTAGGATCGCCCGCTTTCGTCTCACTCGAAGCGCGCACGAAATAAAGTTGCGACGATAAACAACATCATTCGCGTGTCGGAATTTAGTTTTATATGTATTTACATGTATATATATATATGTACACAATATTTGTTACGTAACGGCGATAACAAGTTGACCCAAGTTAGCGAGTTGTTTGTCGTTCGCAAGAAAATCCGTTTCATTTGGAAGATAAAGTTCCGTTTCTCGCGCAAAACGACGATTTTGCTCTTTTCCCCGTGACATTTCGCGCTGTTCTGCAATATAAATATTTTGCGATCCCATTGTTCCGAGCGACGAAGTCGCAACGTTCCGTGTAAATAACTCCGCTTGTTATAACGTGCTCGAGAAATTACGAATAATAAAAACGATAATAATAATAATAAATTACGCGAGGAAGAAAAAACACAACTGTCACTTCTCGATTAAAATAATAAAATCTACAACATCCTTCCCTCCTGCGACGAATTGTAAAAAAAAATTCAGTTCGACACAAATGCGAAAACTCCGCACGTATTCTATAATATTTATAACATTATTCCGCATATGTATAATGCACAGAACACGTGATCGCTTCAATTATGAAAAACACATTTCGCTTCGTTTTTGTCGTTTAAAATTACAAGAGCGCGAGCTCTGAACGATGAAAATTTATTATTAGCGAAAATTGGGGCACAGTCTCGAACACAATCGCAATTGATAAATGTTGTTACACTCCCTCCTCAACATCGCGACTAGATGATCTTATAGTTTAAGCGCCTCTCACCTCTCAAAGTCACTTGACACCGCGCGCGCAACACAGTTTTGCACGTCGTAAAATGTCTATCTAAATGTTGACGATTCGAATGCTGCTCATACCGCTCGCAAATCTATCGTGCGGACAACGCAAGTGCAATAAACGACATTTTATCACGATTGTCACGCTCGCTTACGTTGCATCCGTACGTTTTATACATTTAATCAATGTACGGTGTCTATACTGCGCGAACGCGCGGCCGTAAAAATTCATCACAACACTTCGGAAGAGGCTCGGTAGTAGTTAGTAGAAGCGGATATGAAGCGCCACTTCACACCGAGAACACACGAGAGAAAGAGAGAGAGAGAGGATCATCATCTCGCGAAAGAAAAACCAAACACTTTTTCCTTGTAATCATTTTTCACGTTGTATTTACTTGAATACGTGATAGGTCAGGTTTTTGGGAAGAAGTCTGTTTTGAGCGAATTTACGAGAAAAACACAAAAAGAGCTCAATCGCGATATATAATTTTTTCTCGCCGTTTCTCGCGAAAATCGCGCGAGACAACAACAAGCGAAAGTGTGATAAAAAAAATGAAAAGGTTCTCGAGATAGTCGCGTGTGCGTGTGCTGCGTTGCGTTTGACAAAATTGATCGCGCGATTTTCAAGAGACGGATAATAAATATTCCGCGCCGATAAAAACACAAGCACAGACAGTATAGGAGCGTATATACAAAAAAAAAAAAAAAAACAAAAAGATGTTCGATGTGTTTTCGAAAGAAATAAAGGAACTCACGTAAAAAAAAAAAAAAAAAAAAAAAAAGTGACACAATAGCGCTGTAGCTGAAGAGAAAGACGGTTATAGTTTCTATTTTGAAGATTATATTTTTTTAACTTTATTAATTTTTGACTTCCACGTATATATATATAATAAAAATAAAATTAAAATATATATATTATATATATATATATATACAAATTATAAATACAATGAAACACACTACTAATGGACTATACTGTATATATAAATATACATGTGTACACGTGTATTTTAATCCGAGACCGTGTAGCGCACGCGCAAATGCTTCTTAATATTAAAAAAAAAAAAACGTTGAAAAAACAAGAAAGAGAAAAAAATAATCTCCAAATTGTGTGAAACACCGGAGAAGAAAATGATCAAACGAAGAGGAAGAACGATTGATTAAGAAGAAATTAATCATTCACGCGACAGCGCACAGATAGTTTTCTAATTTGAAAGACAAAAAAAAAATGTGTATATGCGCTAATCGGAACGTGTGCGCGTATCGGAAATCAATACGATGACTTTCGTTTCCAAGATCTAATCCTGATCCGATCGAGTAAATTGAATCTGCACACCTTGTCGCGCGATTACGTCGGATTTGCGTTACACGGTCTGCTCGCATTAAACTAGCTTAGGTAGGTCAAATAATTTTTGTGTACATATATTATCGAACATTATGCGTGCGTAGACTCGAAGTGTCGAAGCCGGAGGAGGACGCGTGTGTGGCGCGAGAGAGTGTAAGTGAACGCAAATAACCGGAGTTTTTAATTTTATGAACTTCGAACGAGAGATAAGCGAAAACATTTTTATCGGGTGACACGCAGAAACACGCGAGATATACGCAGCACGTAGACGTGCTATCGCGCTCAAATGAAATGTCATTATCCAACGGCTCTCTGAGCATCAATAACGCCCTCAGGCCGCACATATGCGCCCGACACTCGGCCCGTAATCCTATATCGGGACGCTTCGATTCTACGCGTCTCGACAATCACGATGCGGCTTACCGATCGTGGTCCGTTTACTATTGACGATTTAATTGTTAATTGAAGTTGGGAATGGACTAGCTCACGCCTACTTATAGGGCCTATGAATGTATACAATCGAATAAAAACAGTTGAGAAACAATTTTCAGCGCGTTTTTTTTTTGTTTTAATTCTGCATCCATCCGACAACTTTGAAGCATCGTTTTCACAGATTATTCACGTTTTGTTTTTTTTTTGTTAATTACTTTTTTTAATTTTTTTCGCCGCACGAAATCATCCCATCCCAAATCTTTCGATTCGCCTGTCGATTCTTTTCACGAGGACTTCACTGTGTTCACATTTGATACTTTTCCTCTTTCCCTTCTCTTTCCGCGTGTCCAACGTGTGTGTTTCACGTCTCTCCGATGTGAAGTTTCAAAAGCGCGAGATAAAAAAAAAAAGCTAAATTGATAAAAAAGAAGGCGAAAAGTGTTGTTGTTGCACACGATAAATCGACGGCGATAACACACATCGGTCGTCGCGAAGGGTAACTCGTTAGAAAAGTCTGACGAGCGCATTTCCACCAGGAGATGGCAGCAGCCTCCTCGCCGAGGAAGATACGGTCGCGCAGATTCTCTAGCCACCGATCGGGGGCAGCTACTATTTTCTGCGGACGTCGTCGCGCGAATGCGCGCGCCAGCCAGGCGGTTCAGTGACGGCTTAGACTTCAGCCGGACGGAGTCTGGCCTAAAACCTCTAGTACCTCTCGTTTACTCCGGCTGTGTGCGACACAGTAAGTACACACACTACACGCAATTGCTGACTGAAACCGACAGGACTCGCGCGGCACATTCACCTCGACCGACACCTCGCAGTCGTGCGCTTCACCGAAATTGGAAAGTGCGATCCTAATCTCGGACGAGCTCTCGTCCGTGCGACTGATGTTCCGCAATGTGAGACAAAAGTGCGCGACGTTCTTATATATTGTTTCATAAAAAAAAAAAAGAGGAGAATTTATTCTTTGGTTGGATCAATTTTTCACGGGGGATGGTTCTCGTTCTCGCTGCTGTGGAAATCGGAGCACACCGGAGAGAGAGAGAGAGAGAGATGTAACTCTTCTTCATTTTCTTGCTTACATAATTTCTGTTGTAGGATTTATCAGTCATCGTGAGTCGGACTTTGATCCAAACAAAATAAATCTCGTATTTTCTGTCTTGGGATTATTTTTGTCGTACTTTCTGGTTTTAGATTTTTCAGGAGATTAATATTTTTTTTTTTTTATAATTAATGAGAGAGAGAGAAAGAAAGGAAATTGTTCAGCTTGTTATTCGTGTTGTCAAATTTTAAGACACCTCTAGTCGTTTATGTATATATACATGTGTGCGCATATACACACGTGCGCATATACTTGTATGTTTTTATATATTTCGTAACTCTCTCGATTGGATGCGCATCTTCACAGTCGGATTTGAAAAACACTTTATTCGGGAGGAAATGTTGAATTTTCACATATATATATAAAGATAAATCATTTTAAGGAAAACGTTAATTTGGAAAATCAATTTTTCGAAAGTACGTAGGTGCTTTACGTTACTGAGAGTTATGTCACGCACATGTGTGTTTGCGCAAGTGTGTTAACAATGAAGCGCAGAAGTTTGTTGTACGCAGCAAATTGCGACAAATCTTTGCATATACACAACTCGCTTCTCATAATAATACCGGGGTCAAAAGTCGGCTCTCTTCGATATGACACTTCACATCGTACGTTTCTCTTTCGATATAACGAGTTAGCGTGAAGAAATAATAACCGGAACGGATATTCTTATCGTTTCAAGGATAAAGATATTGTTGTTTAAAAATGAAAAAAAAGAGAGAAACAAAATTTGAAAATATACGTATAAATATACATAATTTCTCGAAAGAATCATCTCTTAAGACATGCACAAACCGTACGATACTGGCCGAGAATGGGTGTTGTGCTCAGACGATGTAATTTGCATAACCTGTTTTTATTTGAATAAGACTTTTTTTTTTTTGCTTCCTGATAAAAGCTGCGAAATTACTCGCATTGTATTCAATAAAAGGAGAAAAAAGTAGTTAAAAAAGTAGTTAAAAGAAGAAAAAAGAGACAATTATAATTACATTAACCACCTATTGTTGATTAACATTATAATTACATTAATTACTTATTATTAAATACAAGAACAACAAAACTACAAAAAAGAGATATAACATTCTAGTGTATTTATGAGAAAATTATATACGTTATATATAAGTAATAAAAAAAACTACATAATTATATAATTAATTGATGTTACTATAAAAAGTTAAAATTAAAAGAAACATTGCGAAGAAGTTGGAAGAAGACTTCGACGTGTGTTAAATTTCGGATTCTTTAGAAAATACTGTTTATCTTTTGTAAAAGGCAGTAATTTTTTACTCTTCATTAATTAACGATCGCGATCGATGACTCAGGTGACCGAGACTATCGGGCGCTTATCCGTAAGTGACCGCGTAACCTTCATCGCGGTTAATTTCGAGGATTGTTCGCGCGCGCGCACGACTGACGCAGCGTGTGCGAGCTGCGGACAACACTTTGCGCAGTGTGTCGCGCTAATTGCTGATATTTTTTTTTTTTTTTTGTATCTCATCTCGTTTTCCCCTCCGCGTACAATACTGGAGACAACGTCCTCTCGTTCGTACATATCTGTCGACTTTTGTCTGTCTCAAAGTTTTTCATACAGAAAATTAGGTAATTGAAGTTTTATTATTAAAAACACTATTTAAAACTATAATTATTAAAAAATTACGTTTAATATTCAATAACTTATTTTTTAATCAAAAATCTGAAATAAGAACAATTTTCCAAAAAATGTAGCTTTCTTTGCATAAAAAAAACTTCTTTCTACTTTTATAATTTCTTTTCTTCTTTTCTATTATTTTACTAATTTTTCTCTTTCATACATTCGCTACATTTGTCACACGTACTGACTGTTTATTCAGAACGAGAGTAGAAAACGAACACAGAATCGCGATTTTCATGTTTCGCGATTGATGTCAACGAAGTTTTTTGCGATAAATCTGCTTGGTCGCTGATAAATGACAAAGATAAACCAGCTTTTCGGCAGATTCTGCGCGCTGTCATCGCGAGAGATCGATACAGCTCTAGTCACACATTGACCCACTCCTGATATAATCGTTCTTTTCGCAGTTGCCAAGAAATGACGCCAATGAACTCTAATGGTTCTTTCTGCGGCGTGTTCTATTTTTAATTTTTGCGACCTTCTCGTCAACGCTGCAATTATATTACATTGTGTATCATATTTCTTTCCATGAGAGTTTGAATTTATTTCCTTTCAAAACACATTTCTCCGTTATTTTACGACATACGATTGATCATTATTTTATTATTAACTTTATTTTTGCTTATAATCGACAAAACAATCTTTGATTTTAATTTTAAGTTTTATTCAACAAATAATCTTAATAAACGTTCTATTAGTTCCGCTTTTTAGATTGTGTTTTTGAACGTAAAAAAATGGTTTTTGTTTTTTGATGTTTATAAACTCTCTCTCGTACGGCGAATCAGCTGTTTCTGACGCCACGGCGCTGCTATTTCCTCCCGCGAGATCGATACTCGAAAGCTTATATACATATGCGCATTCACATCCTCAAGAGACATTAAGTGAATGTCCTCGAATGATGCAACAACGGTCGCAACAAATCACGAACAGGCATAATTATCGCTCTTGCGCAAATAGATTAACAATTATTATCTTATCACTGATCAATCAATTTTTGAATTATCCGAATCCGTTTGATTTAAACCCGCAATATTCGCGCGAATGATAAAGTCCCGAAGAGAGCGATCGATACAATCGAGAAGTGTGAGAAACCCTTTTCACGATAGAGAGATGGCAATTACACAGAAGCCCCATTACTATCTCGCGTTCGAGCTTTTGACGGAGTAATTGGCGAAAATGAAGCCGGTCGCAGATCTCTCTCTCTCGCCGTCTTTTCCTGATTAAATTGCCGTGTAATTACAGCGCGATTGAAAACCGAGCAAACTGTAAATGTATATAAAAATGAACTCCGCAATGAATATATATATATATATTTATTTATTTATTTTAAGAATAATTGCGTGCGAGCTATTACTTTGAAAATCAGTGAAAATCTAAAATGCACTTTGATATTCTCGTTCTATATCTTATGTGTCGTTTATTATTCAACCGCGCATGTTAATTAAGCCGCAAGGTCGGTTTCGCGCGACAAGTGACCACAACAGTCATTACACCATAGACACGGCGAAATGTGATTTACGTCAATTGTAACTCATCCTACGCGATAACACACGGCAAACAAAATCGCTCTCAATGTTATTCCGGTTCGAAAAATTCTGAGAAGATATTTTATCAATTTTCCGCGTCGGACTATCATCACGGAAGTTTTTTTTTTATATTTTTAGAGATATTAATACAATTTTTTTTTTTCAATTCTCCGTCATACGGTATATTTTTTCTGTTGTATAAAATATATTTTCTCAATTCGCGTCACGGACATTTATTGTGTTTTTCTCTCTTTCTCTCTCTATTAACATTTAATTTTTTACTTCTCTTGTATGTACATCATGTCTCGTGCGTTCGCACGTTGTGTCCCATTTTGTTGAGTTTAAATACTTAATTATAACCGTATTTTCTCTTTTTCTCTCTCTCTCTCTCTCTTATCAGCAATGCAGCGCACGTCTCACGCGAGTGTTAGTTTTCAAAAGAAAAGTACTGTGACATTTTGCGACGTTGATATTCCAAAGGAAATTTTGTTGTAAATACGTAATAGCGATACCGTATAATTCCTTATCATCACAGAAATGTAACGCGCACATCTCACGCGAGATGCACGGATGACTACGATCACGTGTGTTTTCAGATTTTGAGAAAAGAACACAGTGGTGTGACATCCTATCATTTGCGACGCGTTGATACTGGAAAAGTAATTAATTGAAGACGCGTTATATGCGAACGACGGGGGTGAATAGTTCACGCGATTAGCGCCGTGAACGTCTGACGGATTTCGTAATCGACATCAGACGGAATAATTTTTTCCGCGCCGATCGAAGTCTTCGAGATCGATCGAGATTTGTTACGTTGTATTTGTTACGGAACAAAGATCTTGCTAAAAGACCTTTGAAGCCGACCGAAAACGCGGACCTTTGAAATATTTTCACTTTAGTGATAAAATTTCGAAATTTCGATCGTGCGACAGCACGCGCGATAATATCGCGATGTCGTAGATAGGAGATTCGAATCGGATTGTAGTTTTAATTCATGCAAATCTTTGCGCACAATTTGTCTCTCTTAAAACATTCATCGAATATTTATATTCATTTATATTATTTATTGTGTTTCGCACATCGCGTACGCGTTTTTCTCTTATTTTTGTATCTCATTATCATTCGCACAGCATTATGTGCCGAATAAAGACATCTTGTTATTATTATTCTGGCACACAACTCACGTGAATGAGAGAGATTTGTTGTTTTAGCAACTGTGAAGCAACGAACGAAATCGTGACTATATTACACCACTATATAGAATGATAAAATCCTGATTTATAGCGTTGCTAATTTATATAGTTGACACAATACCGGGACATTATTCTATTTTCGTCACATAATATACACACGTATTCGGATTCGGAATTCCCCGAGGTTATATCTCATTGTCAGTTATCGCGATAACAACTTTGTGCGCCCCGAATGCAAAATTCTCATCCGTTTGCGACCGCGAATAGATACAACGCGATAATTTGCATTAATTGTGCGAACTCGTCGACAACCCCGGCTTTTACGACGTAAAGGTGTTACACAATTACGAAAAGCAATCAGTACATGAATAGACTTTGTTAAGTCGATATAGCGTAGTCTCCGCGATCGTATGTCAGCGACTTTCCGACGATACAAGTGTCACAAAAACGTGTCGCGCGTATTTGTTTTTTTTCTCTTGTTATCGTTCGTGTAATTTGATCGATATGTGAATCACTGATGTTATCGAAAAGAAAAATATATTCGCGCGGCACAGAAATGTCGCGTCAACGTGACAATTTTTCTTCTTCGACTCGATCGCGTAATTACTTACGTGTGATTCACTCGGTGCGCTGAGTTATAATATACAGTAAACTATCATCAACTCACAATTGCAAATCCGGTTTTTCATTTCGCAGCGAGTACGGTCGACGGATTCAGAAGATGACTTTTCTTCGTTTATAATTATTGCGAGTACATAACATGCGTCGCGTGTAAATCGTCTTCTCGGTGTCCGCCTCTAATAATATAACATCTTTGCGCAAACTTGTCAGACGCTATTCTAAGAAGATCTCTCTGCAAAGTATACCGCAATAAAAAATGCAAATCGATTTTTACGATATTTTTATACTTCGGCTAAAGCAATTTAATAACATGGAAAGCTAAAACGCGCTTAGGAAAGAACGAAGCCACAGTCTCTTTATATTCATTTTTCACTGTCGCAGAAATAAATGCAATTAGCAAGTAAAAAATTAAAATGCCAGAGTGATTACATCTTTGCGTTAATTGCTCGTGTTTGTTTATCACACATATTTTTCTTTTTTCCGATTTCCAGTAGAACAGCTCTCTGCTCGATCGTGCGTCCACCCCGTTCTCTATTTTAATATTAAATTGACTTCTTGAGAATGGTCGTTGACATCATTGATCGTGTCGCCGCACAGCGAGCTTAACTATCGCGGTGACTTTTAAACGCATTAGGAAATGCGCTTAGATCGATCGACCGATAAAACTCTTTTATTTTGATACGATCAAATGTCCGTATCAAACTTTTCGACATACTTCTTCTTGTTTCTTTGTGCATCTTCCCTACATCAAAATTTCTTTATCGAATATTTGCTCTTGAATGGAACGTGAACGCGCGATAAGCATCGCGCGTCAAGTCGTCGAAGATATCGGAAATATTTTTTTTTATCAATGACCATTTTCATTACTCTCCGGATTTATTGCCCGGTCATTGCCGATACGAACAATTGTGATTTATTCTCAATACGTGTTTCGCGCAATACGTTCCCGATGACGTAAAGTTTCGAGATTGCGCGATTATATTATTCCTCGCGATGGAAGTTCGACTTGCGATCGAAACCCGCGCAACTGCTGCGCATTTGCTTCATTTCACGTATGTTACGTGGAAATACCGCACGTGACAGTATCGTGTTGCGACGGTGGCTGATTGATGTTCCAAAAGCAGAAGTCAATAAAGACGTATCATATCATATTGCGCGGTAAAACTGAATTATGATACTCTGTAATTCAAATGTATAATGTCACAACTCCCTCGCGGTGCGGCATTACTCAATGCCAGTCACGACGTGTCAATGAGCCAATTTGGAGGACAAGTGTGTTATGGCAGATATTGCGATACGTGTATCGAATTTTCGCGATTGCTCGTTTAGTTCAAACAATTTTTGTCTACGAAAAAATCTCCAGAAAAGCAACTATAAAAATTAAAACTCTTAGATATCTCATTAATAAATATGTTTATCTCTAGGAAAAAAAACACCAACATATAATCGTTATCATTACGTGATCAATCGCATCAACAGAAATATGCGATAAAAAATATTTTATATAGCAAGAGAAAAAATATTATTTAAGAAAACAAAATTAATTTGTGTGTTTGTTCTGTTTCTGAAACAGTTTCTCCGGCGCAACGATAAGAAGAGCGGTCGCATCTTTTTTTTTTTTTCAATGATACTTCAGAGGCCGCAATAAACGTGTGTCTTTAAGTGCCCGATATGTATATATATATATAAACACTGGAAACTTCACCTAGCGATTACTACTGAAGAAGCTGTTATCGCGTATCGCGACGAAGATTTGTTTTCAAGCTTGCAAACGAGAAGAGCAGTCACGCGCGCGCACGTGAGAAGATAGCTTTAAAACACTAGTCAAATATTTAAACGGCCTTATAATATAGTTTCGAATAGAGTTAGTCTAGTTTTTTTGTGAGAACAAGTGTCAATTGTGTCACACGCGTGCCAATCGAAAAAACGGAACATCGAAATAGTGAATAATAATATCGTGAAATCGCGAACGCGTAGACGCACAAAGCGACCGGCAAAATGCATTCCATGCGCGCGCACCGAGCGTTGTGCAAACACAAAACTGCATTGCGAATATGGAAGATCGCCACGAGCAGCTTCAGCACCGATGTGGAGTTCAAGCCGATCAGGAGCGTTCTCGTCGCCAATCGAGGTAACAAAAATCAAGTCCCAGTAATTTTTTTCAATTACTCTGTCTTTTAAAGATATAATTTTTGAAGAGAGTTTTTTCTCACAAATAAGCTTCCAAAGTTTTCTTCACGAGAGATTTATTTGCGGACTATATAAAATTTGATTCCCTTTCCCTCTCTTTAATTTTACTTAAAATATATTTAAAACTATTCTCGTTTTGTCTCATCTTATTTGTTTTTAATCGAGCAAACTTCTTGTTGTTAAGTGTGTATTAAATTGAATGTAAAAATACACTTATCTCGCACGGTAACTCGAATACGGAGCACGTGCGAGCACGGATTTCTGATAACGCCGCGTATACTACTTTTACCGACGCAAAGATGACATATTGCTTTAAATTGTTAGGAATTGCAACCTTGCTATTAATGGATAAACGAAAGAAATAACGCGTTTTCCAAAGCTGTCGATATTTAGTCGGTCAATGAATTAATGAGCATCATCGATGACTCGTTTATTTTTAGTGGAGCAAGGTTGCGCCGTTAATCAACATCTGAAACATTTTGATTTAGAGACTCGCAAGCATTTTAATCTCACGATGCGTGTCAGTGTTACATTCGTAATCTCCATAAATTTTCGAAACTTCGCGTAACATTGAGAATTCCTTTCACTTTTGTGTCGTTATCTTATAATTAAACTTGAAAATCAATACGCGTTTTGAAATGCATCGACGTTTAAAAACCCGACACGATTTTATCTACGCAAACAAATGATAACTAATTTATATAAATTTGCAAATAAATTCAACATTGAATATTTGACAACATTTCGCAGGAGAGATCGCCATTCGCGTGTTCCGCGCGTGCACGGAGCTCGGCATTCGCTCCGTGGCGATCTACTCGGAGCAGGATAAGATGCAGATGCATCGACAGAAAGCGGACGAGGGATATCTAGTGGGCAAGGGCTTACCTCCCGTTCAGGCGTACCTGAACATTCCGGAAATCATACGGATAGCGAAGGAGAACGACGTTGACGCGATACATCCCGGCTACGGGTTTCTCTCCGAGAGATCGGATTTCGCCCAAGCGGTGACCGACGCCGGCATCAGATTCATCGGTCCCAGTCCCAAAGTTGTTCAGCAGATGGGCGACAAGGTTAAAACCTCGCAACTAAAGTTTCTTCTCTTATAGATCCACGCACGATGTTTGTTTCCCTCGGCGATTAGCCGCACTTTTTGCAGAAATTTTACATACACGCAGAATATCTTGCTCGATATCCTGCGGAGATATATTTTCTCCGATCGAAACGGAATTTCTCTCTATTCCGGAACGGACGATAGCGTGTTATTTATTCGATTGACAGGTCGCCGCCAGACAAGCCGCCATAGAAGCGGGGGTGCCGATTGTGCCGGGAACCGACGGACCGGTGACGACGTCCGACGAAGCGATGGAATTCTGCATGAAGCACGGTCTTCCGGTTATCTTCAAGGCTGCTTACGGGGGTGGAGGACGAGGTATAGGGTTGGAATATCAAGCGATGGAATATTCTGGAATGCGGAGGAGATTGCGTCTCGTGAAATTTTTCTCGCAAACAAGATATTTTGAAAATTCAAAATTTACAAAAACTCGCGGAAAAAACTACGTAGTTAAATATGCAGTTTGAACGCGAGTTTTGAGCGCAACTCCGCGAAAAGCGAACGCGTAAAATATCATAACTCACCGTAACCGTTGAGGAACTGTGTTCGTAAATTACGTAAACAAAGAGACGCGTTTCTTCCGGAACGTATGCAGAAACGGAAAAAAACATCGTTTATTCGTTATCATCGAACAATGCGAAAACTATTTGCGCGCAACGCACGTTTACGACTCGTCGAGCGATAAAGTCACGGATGGATTTGCGTTTCCAGTCCGAAGAAGAAACGATTGCGCACATGATTTTTCGACCGTCGTAATAGGTTCAGTTAAACGCATTATGTAAAAACATATTAAAAAAAAAAAAAAAAAAAAAAAAAAAAAAAAAAAAAAAAAAAAAAAGAAATCACGAGTCGCAAATTGCAGCTTTCGACCGCTGTTTTTCGTTCAATTATAAAAGATCGTTACGTCAACGATGTTTTTCTTTTTTATTTTATCAGGTATGAGAGTCGTGAGGCAAATGGAAGAAGTTCGCGAGATGTTCGATCGCGCGTCTTCCGAAGCGGCGGCCGCTTTCGGAAACGGCGCGATGTTCATCGAGAAGTTCATCGAGAGGCCGCGCCACATCGAGGTCCAATTGCTCGGAGATCACGCCGGCAATGTCGTGCACTTGTACGAGCGCGACTGCTCCGTGCAGAGGCGTCATCAAAAGGTATTCATATTTCTCGATTGTAATTTAGCGCGTAAACAACATTTATACGCGCTGTCGAAACGTTAACTTTCGTCGCGCTTTCTTCTTCGTTATAATTCTCGATTTGAACGAGACTGAAGAACAAAGAAGAAATATATATATGTGCGAATTATTGCGCAATGTGTCGTGAAAAATTATTATTCAGCTCATCAAGGTGATATAACGCAGCAATTTTTTCTAATTCTATGCGAACGCAGACGGTGAATTTTTTGCCTCGCTTCTACAAGGATAAAAGCCGAGAACCTTAGCTTTGTCCGAAATTAAATATAGTTACGCAATGTTTCACAATTGCATATAATGAAGTAGAGAGAGAGTTCGCAAATTATAATTATATTTAATCCCTGTAAAATACAGCAGCGTGTTTTCTGAAATTATTAGGCAGAAGAGTTTTTTTTGCGCGGTTAATATTAAAAGATGCTTGCGCGGTAATAGTTTTCATTGTTAATTCGAGCGATTTCTTTGCACGATTTCTTTCCCAGGTAGTCGAGATTGCGCCAGCTCCGTCACTGTCGTCTAAGATACGCGAGAAAATGACCGAATACGCGGTCAAGTTGGCGAAGCACGTCGGCTACGCGAACGCCGGCACGGTTGAATTCCTGGCCGACGAATCCGGGAATTTCTACTTCATTGAGGTGAACGCCAGGCTGCAGGTCGAGCACACGGTGACCGAGGAAATAACCGGGTAATGAGAACAACTTTAAAAATAAAAAAATATCCTATCAAGAAAATATAAAAGTATAAAATCTTTGGATTGTCCTGTGAACAAAATTATTGTCTATTGTTGCATCGTCTTTTTTCTTTCAGAATCGATCTCGTGCAGTCTCAAATTCGCATCGCCGAAGGCATGACGCTCCCGGAGCTCGGCATGACGCAGGAGAAGATCGTACCTCAGGGATTCGCGATCCAGTGCCGAGTGACGACGGAGGATCCGGCGAAGAACTTCCAACCGGATACCGGAAGAATAGAGGTCTTCCGTTCGGGCGAAGGTATGGGTATTCGGTTGGACGGAGCTTCCGCCTTCGCCGGTGCCATTATCTCGCCGTACTACGACTCGCTTCTCGTCAAGGTGAGATATTAATCGGAGACATCCGAGCCGCACACCGAGATAACTAATTACGTTCCGCAGGAACGTTTTTATTTACTTTCGCGCATCTTCTTCAGGTAATTGCGCACGCAAGCGATCTTCAAGCGTCCTGCGCGAAGATGAACCGGGCGCTCCGCGAGTTTCGCGTGCGCGGTGTAAAGACGAACATTCCCTTCCTGCTGAACGTCCTCGAGAATCAGAAGTTCCTCAACGGCGTCGTCGATACGTACTTCATCGACGAGAACCCGCAGCTCTTCCGGTTCCAACCGAGCCAGAATCGAGCGCAGAAGCTGCTCAATTACATCGGCTCGGTTCTGGTGAACGGCCCGAGCACGCCGTTGGCCACTCAGCTTAAACCGGCGGACATTAAACCGCATATTCCTCAGATCGCTTTAGGTATCATCGATTACATACGTACACGAGTAACACAATAATCTCGGGGGTGTGTATTGAGAACAAATAAGGATTTTCGTAAAATTTTCAATCAACGTCCGAGTGACGTTGCTTCTCGACAATGCAGGATTCATCTAAATTTTCGTTTTCTTGTGAATTTACAAAATTTACAAAATTCAACATAATCAAATCCTATATGAAATTTTTTGACGTTCTATATCTATATATTATCTCAAAATTAAATCAGAGACGTACTTAGAGGATGTGCTTTTGCGTGGGTCAGCAAATCAGGGACCTTATAATTTTGTCTTGGTTTTTATTATTATTTTTTTACACGTGAATAGGATGTCTACTAATTCTCTAATCGATTACACTAACACTGACACGTACTAATTCTGAAAAAAAAAAAAAAATATATATAGAACAAACGTAACGCTATTTTTTCAGAATCTTTTTAGCGACATTTTAGAAGACAGAAAACGAGACGATTGATGAAAGAAATTAGTTGTTTTCTTTTCAGAGGAAAAGTAGTAAACATCCTTTTTGTTCGTCGACACCTTCTTTCTGCTTCTTTGCAGGCTTTACAGAAACTCTCTATCTCTCCAGAAACACTCGACTAAACACGATTCTTTATGTTGTATTTTTTTTTCTTTCTGCAATTCTTTGCCGTTTTCTTGTGTGGTTTTATGTATCTTTTTCTCTCAAAATTAATTACCGTAACACGTCGCACTAAGCTAGCAACGCACACCACGCGAATTCGCAAATTGACTCACGAACCATATATTCACACGTTTCTACTTATCTCGTCCGTACGTAACAAGTATAAACCAACAATAATTACAACGCATGCTGTTTCGTATTCTCGTTAATTAGAATAACTCAATAATTCGATATCTTGTACGACGCAATTAAACAATGCATCTCTAATGGGATAAATCCAATAACAAAATTGAGGTGCGTTCGCAAATGGGATAAAATTCCATTCGAAAAAAACGCACTTCCGGAAAAAATTTTCCGAAAGTTTTCTTCTCGTCGAATTTTCTCATAGTGTCTTTTCGACTTTATTTTTGTTTTTTAGACATTAATTTCCTTGTCGTCAACACATATACTTGTTTATCGCATGCTTTTATTTTTTGTTTGACAATTTTTTTTTAGACTTTGCTAAGCTTGCAGCTGCCGAAGACACCAATGATCCTGACACACCAGGTATGATTACACACAATATTATATATCTTGCTTCTTTATTATTTTATGTTACGTTAACAGTTTTTTAGTGCTGTACACATCGCGAAGTCGAGTAGAATATGGTACAGTATGGTAACAGAGAAATATTTTACATATTTGTGACTATATTTTCAGATTGTTCATCAAAATTTGACCAATTTGTATTTTTTCAGTAAAGTATGCACACTAAGTGTGTTTGAAAAGACTGTTTTGTCAAAATTAGAATAATTTGTATTTTTTTAGTGAAGTACATGTACCGACGGTATGTTCGACAAAATTGTTTCGTCAGAATTGGGCTGATTTATATTTTTTCTAGTGAAAAGGGATGATGAATTCGAGACTCAATCGATTAAGTTATTCCTTTTGTGTTATTTTTAAGAATAATAAATTTTTCATTAAAAAATTTCAATAACAGTCGTTGAGAAATGCTAACTAATCAAGTTAATAATAACTATTTTTTTCACATAAAAAAAAGAATATTAAGAAAAAATGCAATATAACCATGATTCTACTTTCTTCTTTTTTAAAAAAACTCTAATTGAACACAATGTTTGTCCAAATTTGTAGATAAAAGATTAAATATCGAAAATTAAAATAAAATTAAATTAATCACGGCGCGGAATAAATTTAATTTGATAAAAAAACGTTTTATTTTTCATCCAAATTACTTTCTACAAAAAAAAGAACAAAACACTCGAATACGAAAAACAAATAAAATAGCAATTCTAAATAATTGTATAAATCGTTATCCGTATTTTTCGATATTTTCTCTAATGCGATTATTTATAATTAATCCGCTCTGTACGGCAGCAATAAATAAAAGTTTTATAATGAATATGCTGTTAAACTGATAATAATATATCGTTATACACATATGTTATAGATAATATAAAATTACTTGAGTGCTTCTGAATAAATTTGTTTACATTAAAATACTTTTTAAATTTTAATAACTATAAGTAACTCTATTGTTTATATTTACTCTATTGTTTATAATTTACTTTATATGACGTAACAACTATCTTGTCAGTTCTTAATGCTTTTGTTCACTTTTAATCACATATTAAATGTTGGTAAATCATCGCTTTCTACAAACATTTCTCTTCACACGCCTATTAACAACAAGCACGTGTCAAATATACATAACATTACCTACCTTTTCAAAAAATCATTTAATCAATTTTTCCTGCGTTAATTTTCAGGAATTTTGGATCCTCCGGCAGGATTCCGTCGCATTTACAAGGAACAGGGACCGGAAGCCTTCGCCAAGGCTGTTAGACAACACAAAGGTCTCCTCTTGATGGACACCACGTTCCGCGACGCTCACCAATCTCTTCTTGCAACTCGCGTGCGATCGCACGATCTCCTGATGATCTCTCCCTTCGTCGCTCACAAATTCAACAATCTTTACTCGCTAGAGAACTGGGGCGGCGCAACTTTTGATGTGGCTTTGAGATTTCTCCACGAGTGTCCGTGGGAAAGACTCGAGGATATGCGCAAGGCCATCCCGAATATCCCGTTCCAAATGCTGCTAAGAGGCGCGAACGCCGTCGGCTACACCAACTATCCCGACAACGTTGTCTTCAAGTTCTGCGAACTAGCCGTGAAGACCGGCATGGACATCTTCCGGGTGTTCGACTCGTTGAATTACCTGCCGAATCTTATCGTCGGTGAGTTTCGAATGTTTCTTCGCGCTTCTTCACATCGTCGAGCGCGAATTTCTTTTTTACAGGTATGGAAGCCGCTGGAAAGGCCGGAGGTATCGTCGAAGCGGCGATTTCCTACACGGGCGACGTGAGCGATCCGAATCGCACCAAGTACAATCTGAAGTATTACACCGATCTGGCGGACGAGCTAGTCAAAGCGGGCACCCACGTCCTCGCGATCAAGGACATGGCCGGTTTGCTGAAACCGAAAGCGGCCGAGATGCTGATCGACGCGATCAGACAGAGACATCCGGACGTGCCTCTTCATATTCACACGCACGATACCGCCGGTGCCGGAGTGGCGTCCATGTTGGCGTGCGCGAAGAGCGGAGCCGACGTGGTGGACGTCGCCGTCGACAGTATGTCTGGCATGACCAGTCAGCCTTCTATGGGAGCTGTCGTGGCTTCTCTTCAAGGTATTTTTCAATGTTTATTTCACGTTTACACAATTGAGTTTCGATACTGATGTTAAAAAAACAATTTTTTATCGCAAAACTTATTCAATATAATCTTTCCGATTACGATTGAGAAAAATAATTTTTTTGTTTACGGACTGGTCAAAGGAACCGAGTTTACATGGTAGAAATATACAATATGTATTGTTTCCGCTTGATGGCGTTGTCGGTTTAATTAAGTCGAGTCCAATAAAAAAGCTGTGAACGATTCCCCCCACAGCAATTGAAACAGTTAAGAAACTTTATTATATCTTATCAAACCGTGTCCATATATATCCTCATGTTGACGCGATAAAGTTAAAACAATTTCTAATCTATTCAGGAACGGATCTGGACACAAAGCTGGATCTTCCCGACATTTCCGAATACTCCGCGTACTGGGAACAGACGAGAACGCTCTACGCGCCGTTCGAGTGCACGACAACGATGAAGTCCGGAAACGCCGACGTTTACCTCAACGAGATCCCCGGCGGCCAATACACGAATCTGCAATTCCAGGCCTACTCGCTCGGTCTGGGCGAGTTCTTCGAGGACGTGAAGAAGGCATACAGAGAGGCTAATCTCCTGCTCGGTGACATCATCAAAGTCACGCCCAGTTCCAAAGTGGTCGGTGATCTGGCGCAGTTCATGGTTCAGAACAAGTTGACCGCCGACGACGTTCTGAAGAAGGCCGAGGAATTGTCGTTCCCGAAGTCCGTGGTCGAGTTTCTTCAAGGCGCTATCGGCGAGCCTCACGGAGGTTTCCCCGAGCCTCTCAGGTAAGATTTTTTCAACTTAATGTATCGTAATAATATCGAAAATTATTATTCTTCAATAATTAATTTTACATCAAATTTTTCTTTTTATTCATTTATTATTTATCTAGATCGAAGGTTCTCAAGGACATACCGCGCATTCAGGGCAGACCAGGCGCGAGTCTGGCACCGCTCGACTTCCCCGCTCTGAAGAAGGAGCTGCAAGAATCTCATCCTCACGTATCCGAAAAGGACGTCATGTCGGCCGCGCTCTATCTTCAAGTAACAAAGGACTACTTGAGTTTCAAGGAGAGATACGGTCCGGTGGATAAACTGGAGACTAAAATCTTCCTCACGGGACCGAAAGTGGGCGAGGTGTTCGACGTGACAATCGAGAAGGGTAAGACTCTTGCCATCAAGACTCTTGCGGTTGCCGAGGATCTCACGAAAAATGGCGAGCGAGAGGTGTTCTTCGAGATGAACGGCCAATTGAGATCCGTATTCATCAAAGACAAAGAAGCCGTTAAGGTAAATGTGACTTGCGAACTTTCTTAAACGTAGTTATCGTTAGATTGATGCTTTAATTAAACTTCGATTAAAGTAAAATTTTGAAGTTAAACGATAAATTGACGTTAAAACGTAAATTGCCAATTAAAATAAAATTATAAAAGTAGTTTAATATTGTTGCTAAATAGTTTCAAGTCAATTTCGATCTCTCTGAGTGCGAAACGAATCGTCCCGTTTTCTGTGCAGGAGCTTCACGTACATCCGAAAGCGGCGAAGGGTGACGCCAATCAGCTGGGAGCGCCGATGCCCGGCGAGGTAATCGACATCAGGGTGAAAGTGGGCGATACAGTGGAAAAAGGCGCGCCCTTGATCGTGTTGTCCGCTATGAAGATGGAGATGGTGGTTCAAGCGCCCAAAGCGGGAAAGATCAAGAGTCTAGACATCACTCTGGGGATGAGACTGGAGGGAGAGGATCTTCTGTTGACGTTCGAATAGACGATCTTGTGTCCGATTCATCGTAAAATCCGGAAATAAATTAGCAATTTCTTCGGTAAAGATGAGACGTTTGCCGCAGAGACTGTCGTTTCACTACGTTAAACGACAAGATCTTCGAAAATCTTTGCCGTGTCGAGGCTTTCGTCGAATGTTATGTTAGCATTCTTTCGACGATGATCGCCGTCTTGTTCAGAATCGTCAATTACTATGTACGTAGTTGATTCTTTGTCGTCCACGGGAGTTCGTCACACTATGTGTGTACACGTTTTCCTAATTAATTTTTAATTGCTAATTCTTAGAGATCGTGCATGTCGCGCAGAATCAAATCTTTGAGAATGTTCGAAAACTCAGCGGACGCAAAAAAAAATGTGCAAGTAGCTATAAAAGTTGCTGATACAAAAGTAGAATTCGTCTTCTGTAGACAATAACACACCGTCGAGTTTACCAAAAGATGAAATGTTTACATGGTACAAATTACTTCTCCAAAATGGTCATTAAATGATCTCGTTTCGGAGAAAGAAACGTTTCGATCGCATCCTGTAAATATTAATGTGATGTCAAACGAAGCTGCCTAAGAGATCAAGTAATTATACAAACTGAAGTTTCGATTCGATAAATAAAAGTAACAGAAATGTCATGAACTTCGCGTACTTCGATTTTTCTACACAATCATCAATTAATAAAATATAAATTTGGGAATAAAAAATTTTTTACCTTATCTTATAAACGACCATTTATAAGACATGATTATTTCTCGTTTTGAATTATGTTCTAATACGTATAAAGCACGTACAGAGTATGTAAAATCATAATGAAAATCTCTAACACACACAGAAATTTTGTATAAACGCCGATTATTATCGTCGCCGTTGTTCGTCTTATCTGTTTGTAATGAGTTATGTACAAAAAAAGCGAAAAAAAAGAAACCAGGCATCTTCTTCAGCTCGATTCTATATTAATTATAGCGTGTATGCATAAGCGATTACCTTGATAATTTAATTACGATACCGAGAACGCGAAGTTAAGCCTTCACGAACGGGTTAGCAAATGCGTAGAAAAAAATCATTCACAGGGAACAAAGACGAGAATAATCCTGAGAAGCCTTGTCTTTGTGCCGTCAAGGTCAAGATCAAATATTACATTTGATTCAAATGTTATAAATTGAAAATTAGACATTCAAATATCTTTTATCTCGATAAAAAAAACAAACCAATTGTTTTTTTAACGAATTCGAAAAATTGCAAAAATATCTATTAATTATTATGTAATTTGAAATAAAATCTAATTTGTAATTTTATATAAATTTTAATTTACAAACTATAGAATAAATATATAAATAAATTTATGTAATTTATTATATGTAAGTATAAATATGTATATGTGTATAACTGTGCCATGAACGCGCGTGTAATATTTCTGATTATATATGTATATGTTGCATATTGACGGCAAATTTACGTTGTTATTACAACAAATACATTACCGGTAATATATTCACAAAAAAACAAATTGTTCTCAGGATCTATGTAATTTGTTTCTCTATCATAAATTTATAACACTTTTGTCTCTCTGAACAAAACACAAATTGTACATTACAAATACGTTACAGACTGTTATATTGAGTTATTTTTAATATGTTGCGTGCGTAAAATATTAAAATATATATTTTTTAAAGAAGATAATGTCTTTTTTTTACTACCAACAAGTCCCGATTGATCCTTTCTTTGTACGATTCTATTTCCTTTTTGTGTTAGAGTTGGGCTTACACAATATTCGTATATCGATAGTTTTACTCGCAAAAAATTTATAAGTATGAATAACCTCGTAATTGAAATTTTATTAATCAAACGATGAATATTGATTGTATGCTTTTAATACTATTAAATATATTCCGTCTTTTAAGCTTAATATAAAAGTACATTTCATTTCATGAATTTTTAAATAAGCACTATTTAATTAGTGTGATCTCAAATATTTAAACTTCTTCTCTCTAAATATTTAAACATTAACTTTTTTCAAATTTAACCCTGTCGCCATATTGAAGCTTTAAATATATTTAATATAATACATTAACTTTCATATAATTGTATACATAAATTTTTCATTTGTGCCACTTTAATAATTGAAGTATCTTTAGTAAATTATATTCTTTTTCGTGTTAAGGCGAAAGGGTTAATAATTAATGTTCGGGATACGGGGACGGGATTGTAGAAGAGAAAAATGCTCTGAAAAAGTATTATACGTAAAATTCAAAGCTGAGACGAACGGAGTGCAATCCATTTATTATAATAACCCATCATATATTCGAAAGGAGAAGATCATAAAGTTTCTCATGACTCTCTGCAAATATGCGAAAACGTGGCAATAGACTTATTTTTTTTTTTTTGTATTTTTTTGTTTTTTGTTTTAAGTCTGGGCGTATACAGGTCGTAAATGACAATGGTAAGAGAATATGTCACCGAACGCCGACAAATATATATATATATATTTATATATATAAAACATTGTATAAGTTAACATTTCTTTCCCGACTATACTCTTATCGATGTATCGAAATCGAGAGATACAATATAATTACAATATATCCGTATAATAAATATGAAATATTGATATATATGTATATGTGTATACAATATATATATATATATATCGTAATAACCGTAATAATTCTGCTCTGATATAATTAGCAATATCTTGTCTGAACGATAAAGAGAATCTTTTTTTCGGTATTTTTTTTACTTTTTTTTTTTTTTAGTTTTTGATAAGGTTCCTCGAGAGAGATTATTCGCTAAGAAATAGATCGGTCCCGAATTTCCCACGCGCGTTGCGCGCGCGCGCTCCATTTTCTTTTTTTTCATCTAAGAGAAAATCTGCTTCTCTTCCCGTCTTAGAGACTGCTGTATTCGTAAATATACGAATTTTAATACTAAAGCGATTTTCGGTGACTAAAACACACGTCGAAACGGCATTAGACTCCTTCGCTTTACAATACAGTTACGTACACAGTTCGTTAGTAACATGATTACATGCGAATCGGAGGTAAACATGTGTGTGTGTCAATGAGAAAGGTTTAGAGTGAACTAGTGAGAGACTTTTTTTTTTGGAAGGCAAAGAGTGGACAAACTCTTAAAAATCTATCGGCCCGCGCGGCCGGTGGGGATTCCTCCACCTGCGCAATAATATCGCCGCGTGTCAGTTCGCGGCGAGTCGATAGCTCGATAATTAATTGCTTGTTGATAAACTTCCCCGTTTGCGTTCTTTCGATCAAATTAATTTAAAATAGACATCGTACAAGAAGAAACGACGCTCCGCATACACACACACACACACACATACATACATCGTTACGTTCAATAATGTAAACATATACGTGAAGGCTTGCAAGTTCGCGACGCGCAAAAGCTTCAACACGTTCAAGGTCGCCTCGCATCTTTGATAATGTGCGTAGAACGTAACACACATACACACACACACACACATACGCGTGATTTAACCCTTTGCGTTCATCAAGGTTGCGGCATCATGCTCAATCACAGAGATCCGAGTACTTCACGCCCATTTCTCACACGAACTAATTGACTTCTCCCGATAGGCACGCGAAGGCCGCTCCGTGTACCATTTAAATGTTATATTGTTTGTTTACTCGCAATTCGAACCGCACGCACTTGAATCACAAAGAATTAATCGCTCCGCGCACAAGAAAGACTTGCTAATTAAATATAAAAACAACACAAACACACAGTAAATTCAATAAATTATTCGACGTCTTTTACACACATACACACATAAAATATACATGGAAGGTAATTGGAGTGTATTGTAACGCGGTAAAATTGATAGAACACAATTCACTTATTTCCCTAATTTACATTATAGAAAGATGAATAAAAAAGAGGAGGTCCGAGTTATAGAATCAAATCAAAACGAAGGAAGAAATGGCCATTAAGAGCCAACGCAGGTACAAGGACGTTTGATTGACGTCATTATTTTCATAATACTGTCGAAGGTAAAAACTAAATTAACGAGAATATAAGAGAGCGAGCGTAAAACAATGGCGAACGTTTCGGTTTCACACTCGTCAAAGAGGGGGAGAGATAAAGAATTGAAAATCTTCGTTGTAAAACTCATTCCTATCACCACTAGAAGCAACGTAATGTTCGTTGAAGTCAGCGGGTTCTTCGATGTTAACAATTGGTCGCGTAAAACCGATTTTTGCATTCAATTCAATTTGGCCAAAAAGCAACACGCCAATTATTATACATAGGGAAGCCGCTCAACAAGCGAATCACGTATCTCTTTTTAAGAATCGACGTTTTACAGTACAAACAGTTTTTTGAGTATAGCGTAGGTAGGTATTCAAAAGTAGAAAGTGTAAAGTATCACAAGAATTACAATAATCGTAAGTAATTTTTTTTTTTTTTTTTTTTTTTTACCATTACACACGTCGCAGAGATTTTTAAGTTCTTGACCTTATTACATCGATCGCACAGTAATTACAAGCGTTTTTTAAACTGTGTCTCTGCGCGCGCGCCTCGCACACGCGCCGATAGACAAAGGGATCTCTATGTAAGTCGGATAACTCTCTGTGTGTAAATACATCAGTCTTTGACACAATAATTATAATAACACCACTGAGACAGAGCAAAGCCGTGAGAAAGATCACTTTATGGCATGAAGAGAGAGAAAGAGAGGAGAGAAAGAGAGAGATAGAAAGATGAAAGTACTTATTATAAAACACGACTCGAGCTCAGAACATGATCGAATGATATTTGCGCGCGGAGAAAGAAAAAAAGAGAGAAAGAGAGAGAAAGAGAAAGAGAGAGATAGAGAGAGAGTCAGAACACTTCTCTCTCCGGATATACAAATGTCGCGAATGAGGCGAAGAAAAGAGAAAATGGATTTCTTTTGTCGATGGAGTCCATTAATATACACGGTGTACAAGCACTTATCGAGAGTATTTCAGAAAGCAGCTCAGCAGAATCGTTCTTCGTGCGCGACAAGCTGAATTTTTCCATCTGATTTCGAGAGTGAAAACATTCAATCTCGTATAATTTTTATTACACAACGTTGCGAAAAAGTGCGAGTGTTTTCTTGTTTATCGATATTACGTAGGTTTTTGATTTGTGAGTAAATTATGAGGTTTTTTTTTCGCAAAAGCTTTTTATCTCTGGAACCGGGATGTGTGTATATATAAATTGTTCGCGAGAAACGTACAAATTATTTAACATTTGTGCATCGCGACATTCTTTGCTTGTTCGTTCATCGTCGGTTCTTACTCAAATGTTATTATTATTATTTTTTTTTTAAATTCATTTCTTTACAAATTACGGAATAGCAAAATAAAGAAAGTAGTTGAGAAAAGTGTGAACACGAAACTCAGAGATCTTAAAATATCAATTCACGATGTGACCAACCTCTAACAGAAACATCACAACGCGATAACGCATTTAAAATTTTCTTTCTAGAAAATCAGCTCTCGGTTCCAGCTCTCTGTTCGAGCGGAACTGTCAATCGCTCCGACGTGAAAATACAATTGCAACGATTTTTGTGTTTTTTTTATTTAAAACTCGAAATTCCGCCGTAGAGTCGACAGCGATTTAACTAACTTTATTATCAAATTTCGATCGAATATTATATATTTTTTTTTTTTTTTGTTTTAGCCCACGTTTAGGTGCGCGCGTGCACACCAAACTGAATTCCCTTAGGCCATGCACATTGATTTCCCAAAGAGCTTTTTAAATCGAAGCGCGTGCGTATGTATACGTCAACACGTGAAAATTAAGTCGCTGTGGCCTGCGGCTGAGGCGGCGTCGGTGCCTGCGTGTTGACATTTGGCCTATAAAACCGATTGACTAATTGCTTCAGACTCATTACAACGCCTAGTCCGGTGCCTGGTTCCATATTGATGAACGAGTCGAGATTATCCTTGCATGCTGAAAAGTTCGAAATGCACAACCGATATAAATAAATATCAACAAAATGTACATACACAACATATACGTGCTGTTTCAAACATCATAGCGCAAAACTATGGACAATTACAGATGAGCGAAGGACGAGAGAGATGTTAGAAGAATCTAGAAGGTGGGAATGAAGGAGATGATTTTCAAGGAGTCGTGGTGTGTTTCGGGAGAAGAGTTTTCTTGATCTAAGGAAGGTCGTGATCCTCTACGTACTCGGTGTCGAGATCGGCGGATAATCCGGTGGCGTCTTGATCCATGTGCCGTCCTTGCGCTTCATGTGATGCCGACTGGACGCGAACTGTTGCAGGTAGACGCTAGCGGGCACCAGGCGGAACCTCCTATGGTATTCAGGTCGCAGTGCCTCGTCCGACCTGAAGGTTTCGGTCGCGTATTTCCAGAAATGCGTGGGAAACGGCAGGGAGCTCTCCAAATCGTACACCACCGCTCTCTCGTCGGGCGCGTAGATGAGTATAGCGTGATAGTCCTGCGGGATAAACGCGGGATAACGAGAAATTTTTCGTAAAACTTATCGAACGGCGGAAGAGACCACCACAAATTGGAGAATTGTGTATCACGGCGTGCGCTCTCCTTTTTAAATTAATTAGTCCCGCCGCCAAGTTTACTAACCCACACGACCAGTTTGTCCTCGTCCTTTCCCGCGCGCTGACGCCAAAGGGGCACGCTTCGTCGGGGGTTGCTCACGAAACATACGTGACAGTGTTGCAGCTCCGACGGATGTCTAGTCGCCACATCCTGACACAGCTTCCACACGTTCTCCTCGCTGAAATTAGGGTACACACGTACCGTGTCGTTTTTAATTCTCGATCGAGAAACGCACGTTTGAGAAAAACATCGAGAATGTGTTTTCTCTGCGTATACTTAATACAAATTTGCAAAATTGTAACGTAAAGTGCGCGTGAACGTACATATGTGTACACAAGCGGAAATGGGCGAAGCGCATTGCTCGAGAGCGGAGTGTCCTCGACGCAAAATAAACAGACCGAAGTGACGTTTAACGTGCGTTTTAAATTGGATTAACATGTTCGGTTGAAACAACAATCGTTGCAACTGAATACGCGCAGTTGTTTTTTTTTTTTTTTTTTTGCGAAGTAACGTACTTAAAATAAATTAAGCATGAAGTACATTTGAAAATACAAATTATAAATCTTGATAATAAACAACACGGTGCGCTGTTAGATCGGGAGGTTACGATTACACACGAAATAACGAAAAAAGCTCAGAGCGATTAGTCCAGTTTTCCGAGCGAACCGCTACGTGTCCTTCGCAATTATAAAGAGACGAGGGAAAAAAAAAAAAGGAAATCAATCTCTCTCCGAACGAGTTCGTGCGGTTTCAACCGCCGTTTCTCGCGTGCCGCCCTCGTGCCGTGCGCATTTTATCTATCGCATGCATTATTAATTGCAATAAAAGAGGGCTCGTATATTCGCGCCACTTAAGCGGCGCATAAGCGCGAATGAATAAACGCGTGCCGATTGGAGTAAACGAAAAGAACGAACTTAATATATTTCGCAAAAATTCCAGCCAGCGAACGAGCAGTGGTACGTGATTTTTATTACGGTCTGTAAAATTACCTTACTCATGTTGTCATAAATGTAACAAATGCACTTTGTATCAATAATAAATTATCATTGCGATATTTACACATGCATTAAATGCATCATTAATAATTCAATGAAATGCATAAAGAATGACATTTCGTCATTGTTGAATTTTAAGAAGCTTTGTGTGTTATTTAAATTATTTTGTATTATATATTTTTTAATTGTCAAGTCACAGTGCGCGATACGTGAAGAAAACTTGCACAAATCAATCAGTTATTATCCGGATCTTATACCATAATCGTTAATTGAACACAACAACATGATTCCAGAATTTTCGACGAATGCGACGCAGCCCGCGCGTATTAAAACCAAAAAAAAACATTGTATATATTTCGAATCGCGCGCCGCGTGCATGCTGCAAAAATGGCCGCGCTCGCCTCGACAGTCCGCATCTCCGCAACCTCCGTATCGATCCGGAGTACGGGTGCATGCCGCAATACGGCGCGTTTATTTGTCTGCGGATCGATCGACGCCTCGGGGGCAGCCGCGCCGTGCCGACCGCGAAATGAAAGAAATCCGTGCGCTGCCGAACGTGCAAAGAAAACAATGAACAAAACCTACTCACCAGTAGCAGCTGGTGTTGACGCAGTCGGAAGCCTTCGTGAACAGCGGCACCAGGGGCTTCGCGTTCCCGGTCACACGAGGTTCCACCGCCATCCTTCCTCTCTGCCGCGGAAAACAAACGTTATAACGGCGGAGACACGACGCGCTATATCGAACACGACGATCGCGTTACACGAACCCGCTGCGCACCGTCAACTTCATTACGCGAGCAATTATCGTTGAGGAGAATGTACACAACACCGGGTTTTGAGAGTTCTTTCTCTCTCTCTCTCTCCTTCAAACGCGACCCACACGACCTACCGACTCGATCATTGTTTGACTACTGCGACTCGCGCGACCGCCACAGTGTTCCCAAACGACGAGCCGCGCTAAGGAATCTTCCTAGCGACGCCAGCGCCACCGCGCACGCGCAGATTCTTCCCCCGAAGACGACGTTGAATTCGCGCGCATGAATGATGCGCGAATAAACACGAATGAAGGTAGAGTTTCATTATTGGAAATTGCATGTTCTTTAATATATATTACATTGCAACACAGTGTTGATTCACACAACTATATTTCTCTTGTTAATGACTTGTCGAACTATAATTTGCATCTTGCTTGTATATTACGTGAAGAATATTGATATTGCGAAACGAGATCCTTAATGTGGACTTTACATAATTACTTAATAAGGACTCTTTAAATAATTAATGCAAATAATTAGTAAATCCACTATATATGTATATTATTTTTAAATACTATCATACGCGTACACACACCGTTCTTTATATATACATACATTTCCTTGATAATAGAGCGAAGCGAAATAAAAACGTTATCCTTAGTTCTGCTGCAAGTTGTGATAAGTTATATTAAACTTTATCCAAGGTTTCGTTAGCAAATTGCACGCTTTAATGAGTGGTTATCTTTCGCATTTTCGCGCAAAAATTTTTTTTAATGATTACTTCGTTGGTGACGATGATAGTGCCAATTAAAGCGGACCTTGATCTCCGGATGTCATATGACTCCACTATGCAGATATAAACTTCGTAGCGTATGCTGGTTTTCTAGTTTCCGCTGGTCCCGAAACGACGTACGTTCATCTACGTCAGTTTTCATCGCGAGACAACATTGCGCGCAATAAACGCGAGATA